AGGAAGGAAGGAAGGAAGGAAGGAAGGAAGGAAGGAAGGAAGGAAGGAAAAAGAAGAGCCACAAACCAGGCCTTAGACATGCTCCTGTCGTGCCGCCATTTAGGAAGGAGTGGTAGGGAGGTCAAGGGCTCAAGGTCATCCTTGACTGCTCAGTGAGTTCGAGACATCCTGGGATACATATGACTCTGTCTCAAAAATACTGAAAGCATTGGTAAGGTGCCCATATTCCTGTAAGCAACTCCACTGAGATGTGTTGGTCACACACAGGAAAGACATGGAGATTGAGTGGGGACATGGGGAGGAGAGAAGAGAGAGTGATGGGGTGAACATGATCAAAATACATGATAGACAGATGTGAAAATGTCGTAATGGGACCTGTTAGTACCTATAATCCACATACACTAACAAAACCATACTAGTTGCTAGGGATTTGGCTCAGCTGGTAGAGTATTGTCCCAGCCTGGACAAAGCCCTGGGTTTTGTCCTCAGTGTCACAAAAAAAAAAAAAAAAACTGCGTACGTGCATGCAGTAGTACTTGCCTGGAGGCTCGACCCTGAGGTGGGGGAAATGAATGGGTCGTGTGTCCGCGGTTATCCTCAGCACTACGTAGATAATGGTGACTCAAAGAGCAGTCTAAGCAAAGGGCACACAGCTTGAGAAGGGACTCTGCTTAGGAGAGAGGCGGGCTCTGCAGAGAAAACCCCCAGCTCCGGCACCAGGACTCAGGGGAATCTGAAACCATTGGCTCCCCGGCAGAGCCCTGAAATTGAGCCAGAGCAGAGTGAGGCCTCTTCCAGGAAGAGGGACCCCAGAGTGCAGGCTTAGGCAATGAGAGGATTCAGGGTGCTTTAGGAACCAAACTAGTAATGGGGGGGCAGGGCAAACTCTTGAGAGAAGCCCCCATCTGCTTGGCAAGAGCCGAGTCCAGACTGCAGCGTCTAAGACTCAGGCGTTCTCTCCTCTTTGAACTTTCTTCTGTGTCAGGCTATTTTCACACACAACTAACAGAAACTGAGATCTGGACACTCGGGGATTTTAAGATAGAAAGCTTAGTGATGGGGTGGACTGGAGAGTGAGCGGATTCTGCGCCTCACAGCTCTCTTTCTCTCTCTCAGCTTCTTTCTGAGGCAAGTTACCCTTGAGGCCACATGACCCAAGAGACAGGCTGCTTCCCTGTCCCTTTTGGGAAAGTAAGACTCCTAGTTCCCGTTTCTGGATGTTTCCAACAATCCTCCTCGGCTATCTCACTGACACTAATTCCTGGCTGAGCCTTGCTGAAGTGAGGGCAAGTGGCCCAGGGTGGGGGCTTCTCTGTTGGGGCGTCACCCTTGGAGCCACCACACAGTGGGTCCTAACCAGAGAGACTGCCTTGGGCTGCAGAGGCCAGCACCTGCTTCGGGGTTTGCCTCCTCCTGGGCATCTAAAAATAGGTCCGAGTCCAACTTCAAAGTACAGGTTACAAATGTGGCTTCGACGGCAGCTTTTCTAACGACTGGCCATCATACAAACCAACTTCCTAAATATGATCTTAAAACCTCTTTCCACCCTCAGATTTCCATAACTTACCTCGGCTACCGCATCTCCTTCCCTCCACGGCATGATCCCCACCACCACCAC